TGGATGGATGGATGGATGGATGGATGGATGGATGGATGGATGGATGGTGAATTCATTTTATGTAGAACAAACTAAAAGTGTTATTTTTAATGACTCGTGAGGCTCACTTCTATCAAAACATTTTAAACGACTCAGTTTAAAATTGTTGCACTTAATGAGGATTAAAAACAAAAGATTTTAGAAAGTTGTGTCTAAAAATAACACAATTTAGAATAAAAGTGATCACTCATTAATAAATAATTAGTTTTCGGCTCGGTCTCTCTTCAACATGAAAGCGTTGGGTCATTTTTGCTGAAGTCTTGCTCTTTTAAATGAAAAGTTGCGTTCCTTTCTGTCTGAGAGGCAAATCTATTAGTTTCGGAGTGACATTAGAAAATTAATTCCTAAAATAAGTCAGTCATTCAGCCGCTGTCCCTGTTAAACTGCATGCGCCATGTGCGTATTTTTCTGCAGCAGTGTTGGCAAAATATAGTTTTGTACAATGAAACAAAAAGGCAACTTCAATAAATTAAACATACACTTGATACAGATCTGTGAGCACTGCTCTGACTGACTGGACAGCAGTGTTCACTCGGGATTGTGTGTTTAATTAGCATAAAAGAGCAGCAGGACTGTGCGTCACAGCCATGGATGAAGATGGGAGGGGGGAAGAGGGGGGACACCTAAGGGAGTCAACAAACTGCTGTGTGTTTCCCGTCCATCAGCCGACAAAAACCAGCCCGGGCTGATGTGAAATGATGACTTAGCTCGCCGCGTTACAGGTGGCTGAAGACAGCTGGGTGCGTCGGTGAGTCGGAGGCGCGCGCACTGCAGCACCGACCTGAGGCAGCGGAGCCGCGATACTTCAGCTTAAAAAAACTCCAAGTGCGCCGTCCGGGACCAGCACATCAGGCTCCACGACGGGACACGAGACAATGAAGCAACAAGAGAGGAAACGTGTCCAAGTGACTGCGGTGGCAAGTCGCGCGCAATGACGGGCAGCGTGAGGCGCACAGAAGAGGTAAAGCAGCGGCAAGTCGCAGGTGCTGGAGAGGAAAACTAACACGGACAGAACAAATGTGCCCAGGGTTGTGAACAACATTTCAATTTATTTTCCACGAGGCAACACTTTAAGGGCTGAAAATAGACATTTGAACACATCATGGAGCCTGAGGAGCTGACAGAGGGACAAGCAGCGAACCTGTCCCAGTCTGCCGCCTCTAAACTGTCCCAGATGGGTGAAAGAACTAAACAACTGGGCAACGTGATCCAGGAGCCACAGCGACAGAAACGGATCATTCTTGTGATAGTTTGTGTTGCACTTTTACTAGACAACATGCTTTACATGGTGATCGTGCCAATCATTCCCGATTACCTTGAGGGGCTACAGAAAGCAGCGGACCATGCCCAGGCTGCTGCGCCGCACACCAACTCCTCCAACAGCACCGTGCACAAAGTAACCAAAGGCAACTTCGACCTGCAGATCGGCGTCCTGTTCGCCTCCAAGGCCATCCTGCAGCTCCTGGTGAACCCGCTGAGCGGCACCTTCATAGACAGAGTGGGCTACGACATCCCGCTCTTCATCGGGCTCAACATCATGTTCCTCTCCACCCTCACCTTTGCCTTTGCCGACAACTACGCCACTCTGTTCCTGGCGCGCAGCATCCAGGGCCTCGGCTCGGCTTTCGCGGACACGTCCGGGATCGCCCTGATCGCGGACAGGTTCACGGAGGAGGGGGAGAGGAGCAAGGCGCTGGGGATCGCCCTGGCGTTCATCTCCTTCGGGAGCCTGGTGGCACCCCCCTTTGGAGGCGTCCTGTACGAGTTCGCCGGGAAGCGCGTGCCCTTCCTGATCCTGGCCTGCATCTGTCTCACGGACGGCGTGCTGTGCCTCATTGTGCTCAAGCCCTTCTCCAACCGGGAGAGGGACAACATGCCAGTAGGCACCCCCATCTATAAACTGATGATTGATCCATACATAGCCGTGGTGGCGGGGGCCCTGATCATCTGTAACATCCCCCTGGCTTTCCTGGAGCCCACCATCGCCAAATGGATGGAGCAAACCATGCATTCCAGCGAGTGGGAGATTGGCATGACCTGGTTCCCCGCGTTCTTCCCTCACGTGTTAGGTGTGTATCTCACTGTGAAACTGGCAGCCAAGTACCCCCACCTGCAGTGGTTCTACGGAGCAATAGGCATGGTGTTCATAGGGGCCAGCTCGTGCACCGTGCCGGCCTGTAAGAACTTCGGGCAGCTCATGATCCCTCTGTGCGGCATCTGCTTTGGCATCGCCTTCGTGGACACGGCGCTCCTGCCCACGCTGGGTTTCCTCGTGGACGTGCGGCACGTGTCCGTGTACGGCAGCGTGTACGCCATCGCAGACATCTCCTACTGCGTGGCGTACGCCTTGGGCCCCGTCGTGGCGGGACAGATCGTGCACGACCTGGGCTTCGTGCAGCTCAACCTGGGCATGGGGCTCGCCAACGTGCTTTACGCGCCGGCGCTCCTGCTGCTGAAGAACGTGGCGCAGATGAAGCCTTCCTTCTCCGAGCGCAACATGCTCCTGGAGGACGGCCCCACGGGACTGTACGACACCATCAAGATGGAGCAGAGGGAGAGGAAGAGGAAGGGGCTGTGCACGACGATCGACGACAACGGCATCGAGACTTTTGTGCAACGCTCGCACTCCGAGGACGAGTCCTCCGGAGGAGAGTACGCGTAAAAGACCCGGAAACTTTCCAAGTGTGCGCGTTCTTTTCCATCCAATCAGCTGTAAAACATGGATTGTCACAACACATCTGCTCCATGACATGCGCGGGTGTTGTGGATCTGTGCTGAAGTAAATGTCTGATCATTGACAGTATAGCCTGTTCATCACTGTAGCTCACTCATTCAGGGAATAACATTAAAGAAAACTGTAACGTGCGCGTCTTTTAGTGTCGCCTGTGTTTATTTTGACGAAAGAAAAAAATGCAACAACAAAAAAAATGTGTTTTGCACATGCAGCGGTTTTAAAGTGTTGGAAATGAACTGTGACATGCATCTTGTTCATCATTTATTAATTGAGTTGATTGTTTCTGAATGGTGTGCTTCTGGAATGCAAAGCCTAAACTGATCTGTAAAGACATGTATATTGATGTACATAATTAAATCAATAAAATGAAGACAACACCGTCTTTTTCTCCAGGATTTATTCACACTCTTTGATTCATATCACATTATGATTATTTCATTCTGCTCAACAGGCGAACATTTAACAGCATCTAAAATTATGGTTTTATAATAAAATAATAATAATAATTATTATTATTTCTTGCCTTTAGACATCATTATTTAATAAAAACCATAATGTTTATTCTAATACAAATAAAATCATTCAAATTGCAAGTTAAACATTTTTTAACCAGTTTGGTGTAAAATAAAAAACAATTTACTGCTTAACAGATAACTGACAAAATAAAACAAAGAGTTCCGTTTTGTCCAAAGATGCAGATCTGTGCGTAAAACATCAACCCAGATGGATGCAGGGACGTGAAAAAAGGCATCTGCTGACGTTAGTCTGCAGAAAACCAGAGCTCCAGCTGAGTCTGAGTCTAAATGAGGTGGAGTAAAGACGACAGGTGCCAAATAAAGTTCTCGGCGAATAGCAGGACTTCTGGGAGGAGCCTGGCTGCCTGGAGGCTGAGATCTTCTCAGCATCTCTCTCGAGCCAAGCAAGGAGTTGAGTTGATGCCATGAAGGGAACAGAAAGATGCTGGAACTGATAAAGGACGCAAGTGTTCATATTCTGATGCTTTTTCTTTTGCAAGAATCCAATTTTTCTTTAAGTAAAGATGGATCAGGATAAACTTCTTGCTTGAGTTTCAGGCGCTTGGTAAGTAAAATACTTTTCATTCCTTGTTGATTGACAATGTAATTAACTGTTTATATAAAGTTACAGTTCACATTAAACAAGATGAAATTGTTTTATGTTTATTTATTTATTACAATAATCACTTTTTCTATGCAGTTCCAATTCAAATTATTGCTAAAATGACTTGTTTCATTGTATTTGTGGACTCTAATTTTGCCTCTTTTGACAGCCCCCCCCCCCCCCCCCCTGCAAACATGCCAATTCTAAAACGAGAGCCTTCGGAAAATACAGTGGATGGAGATGTAAATATTTTCTATCTATATAATATTTCCTTTAAACCTGCAAGGAATAAATTAAACTTGGCAAAAAGATTGCTGTTAAATAAATAAAACTAATGAAATTTAAAAACAAAGCACTTCTGCAGATTTGCACAAAGATAACTGTAATAAATAGATTTAAACTGCTTAATCGATATGATAAACAGCACAGTTGTCTCATAAAGCTGTTTTGACTTCAGGAGTACAACAAAAATACACTAGTGCATGGAAAATAAAATCTGATTCTAAGATTATGATTAATATTTGCGTGTAAATACTGTGATGAGAGTGAAAATGCTGAGAGTTGCACCACATATCGTGCAGGGTCTGCCGAAGCTTCCTCTGCCTGAACTCCAGGCCACGTTGGACACGTACCTGAGGTGCATGAGACATCTGCTCTCTGAGGAGCAATTCAACAAGACCCAGAAGATAGTGACGCAGTTTGAAGCTCCCGGAGGAGCAGGAGAGCTGCTGCAGAGCAAACTCCTGGAGAGGAGGGAGAAGAAGGCGAACTGGGTGAAAAACACTTTGAGAAAAGACTCGTTTATTTCTAACTTTCAAAGTAATACGTAGTAATGTTGTGGTTTTAAATAAAACAAGTGGCTCGGGAAGATTTTGAGACATAATGTGATCTGCAGATCCAGTCCAGTTGTTTGTTATTGACCGTCTTTTTGCTTTAACTGTGGTAAAATTGAGCTTTTCCACTGTAGGTTTATGACTACTGGCTGAACGACATGTACCTGAGCAACAGGCTGGCTTTGCCCATCAACTCCAGTCCTGCCATGGTGTTTCCACCACAGAGCTTCAGAGCACCGATTGACTCGTTAAGGTATCACAACTGAATCACTATCTGCTCAGTTGGACACAACCAGAACGCTGATTTTACTTCCTTTACTTATCCCCAGAACAAGTGAACGTTCTCATAAACCTTTGTCACTTTTTGAGGAAAATTACAGCTGCTTGCATGAAGTGCTCAAATCGCAGCTTTGATTATGATTCATCGGCCCCAGAAGATTAGAACATTATTTATTAGACAGACGCCACATTAGGCTACTGGTGGCAAGATTCATAAGCAGTGCATGTATTTAAGTGTAAAAAGGAACAACAATATTACACTGGCATTGACTGATTAGTCAGGATGCTGTGTGGCATTTTAAACACAGCTTGCTTGTCTGCTCCAGGTTTGCTGCACATTTAATTTCAGGAGTTCTGGAGTACAAGACTCTACTTGATGCGTAAGTCACAATATTCACACTAGAACCATCGACATCCACTGGTCTGTGTTTGAACCAGAAACAAAGTGGTGTGTGTCTGTGTGTGTAGTCACGCCCTGCCTGTGGATTATGCTCGGGGCCAGCTAGCTGGAACCCCTCTGTGTATGGAGCAGTATTATCGACTCTTCACATCCTACCGCCTGCCAGGCTCTGAGAGGGACACGCTCGTAGCCCAGGAGAGCACCGTGATGCCAGAACCTGAACACATCATTGTGGCTTGTAAAAACCAGGTCAGATGTAAAACAATACATCACACAGTAGATCTGACCATCCAGAAATTTGCTTATGATCCTTTTCTGGAGTTTTAAATCATAGCTTAACTTTTTGTGCTAGACAAAAAAATGAATTTAATTAGGTAAGTTAGAAGCCTTCAGCTGTAAATTACTGTAGTAATTATTATGTTTCAACTCATGCACCGAACTGCCCTGTTAAGTACGTTAGAAGATGAATATCTTCTTCTTCTTCTTTTGGCTTTTCTCTCTTCAGGGGTCACCACAGCAAGTCATCCTCCTCCATCTCACTCTGTCCTCACTCCAACTACCTCCATGTCCTCTCTAACTGCATCCATATATCTCCTCTTTGTCTTTTTCCTGACAGCTGCATTTCTAACATCCTTCTACCAGTATACCCACTGTCCCTCTTCTGGACATGTCCAAACCATCTCAGTCTGGCCTCTAACTTTATCTCCCAGTTGTTCAACCTGTGATGTACCTCTGATGATCTCATTCCTAATCTTATTCATCTTCGTCACTCGTAAGATGAACCTCAACATCTTCATTTCCACCACTTCCAGTTCTTCCTCCTGTCTTTTTGTCAAACCACTGTCTCCAGACCATATAATACAGCTGGTCTCACCACTGTCGCAAATCACTCCTGAAACTTTTCTTGATCCACTCCATACTGCCTGGACTTTCTTTTTCACCTCTTTACCACACTCCCCATTTTCCTGGACAGTGGACCCCAAGTACTTGAAGTCCTGCACCTTTGTGACCTTTGCTCCTTGTAGCCTCACTGCTCCACCAGTCTCTCACATTAGCTTCTCTCAAAAGCTTCTGATTAATGGTTTGCAATGAGCCAGCTCAGCAGGAGACAGAAATGGGTTCATCCATCCATCCATCCATTTTCTTTACCCGCTTATTCCATTTTGGGTCACGGGGGTCGCTGGTGCCCATGTCCAGCAATCATTGTGCGAGGGGCGGGGTACACCCTGGACGGGTTGCAAGTCCATCACAGGGACACATAGAGACAAACGAGACAAACAACCATTCACTCTCTCGCTGCAAGTACATATTGAAATGAAACAGCATTCCCCAGGATCACGGTGCAACATAGAACATAACGTGCAAAACAAAACAACACGCAGAGCAGATGTGCAACAGAATAATAAATACAAACACACCTATAATAGATGCAAAAAGACATGTAATCTAATCTAAACAGTTTAATCTGAACAAGTAATTAAGAGAAAAGGCTAAAGACACATGTTGATTAGTGCATGAGGTACATTTGTTATAAAAAGTGAAAGTAGTTTTACACACATTGTGCAAAAAGTTAAGTTGGAGGATTAATGAACTGTGTAGCTTTAAGAGATCACTTATACCAAAC